TAACAGACACTTGAGGATCATATCTTAACCTCTTTTAATAAATAATACAATAAGAATATTAAGGTACTTGATAATTTTAAATTCGTATTGTAACTGCTATCGGTATTTTAGTAAGTAATAAAGTAATAAGAAAAATGTGTTTATATATCCAACAACTATGTTACACTTGTTAAAAGTGATTGTTTGAATCCCAAAATCAAAAGTTTGATCCTTAGAGAAACACTCGTGGGAAGTACTTTGACTAAGGGTGTAAATGGATCACACGACCTATTAGAGGCGTATAGCTCAACCTATGTCTCACCTAGCCTAGTATATATGGTAAGATAACCTATTTAGAAAGTAGATTATATGTTTTCTGTAACATCCCGGGCGCTGACGAGGGCGGGGAGTGATCGCCGGTGCGAAAGGGCATGGACAAGGAGTGGCTCCTGGCAGGCTTCCAGCGACGGGGGTACATGAATGAATCGAATCAACACCCGAAAGAGAGATTCCAGAGACTGTGCTGGTATGGGACGGTACAGTTGGGAATAGCTTATAAGAATTAATTGGATCTACCTATACTAACAAGACTACTTTTTGGTAGCCCGAAACGGAAGAACTCCATAGTTAAGTGTGCTTGACTTGGGGCAATTCTGGGATGAGTGACCTCTTGGGAAGTTTTCCCGGGAAGTGTGCGAGTGAGGACAAAGCACGCTGAAAAGTCTCGTGTTAGTGTGTGGGGATAGTCGTTGATCCTCGCAAGTTGTCAGGCGTTACAAGTGGTATCAGAACAGGGCCTCTCTTCCAGTACGGTGTGGTTCGAGGACGAGCCAAGCGGAAGCTGGTGGGCATGTAACATCTCGGGCACTGACGAGGGCGGGGAGTAATCGCCGGTGCGAAAGGGCATGGACAAGGAGCGGCTCCTGGCAGGCTTCCAGCGACGGTGGTACATGAATGAATCGAATCAACACCCGAAAGAGAGGAATTTCAGAGACTGTGCTGGTATGGGACGGTACAATTGGGAATAACTTATAAGAATTAATTCGTACTACCTATACTAACAAGATGCATCTACTTTTCAGTAGCCCGGAACGGAAGAACTCCATAGTTAAGCGTGCTTGACTTGGGGCAATTTTGGGATTGGTGACTTCCTGGGAAGTTTTCCCGAGAATTGTGCGAGTGAGGACAAAACACGCTAAAAAGTCTCGTATTAGTGTGTGGGGACAGTCATTGATCCTTACAAGTTGCCAGACGTTACATTTTCCTTTATAAAGTCTGACCACAAACATACAAACCAACATACAAAATTTTAGAAACTTTAAACCCATTATATTATTATTTAAATAATTTTAATATTATTTAAATAATAATATTAGTTATTTTTAAATTTTTCAAGGTTTAATAGGTTTAAATAAGCTAACATATCTAGATTACTTTTTAATTTTTAAATATAACCTAAGCCAGACTTAAAATTTAGCCTCTTTTTTTTACAAAAAAAAAAATTAGCTTACTTCATGCTAATACTCTAGGTCAAACTTATAATATTATATAAAGGCCTAATCTATTTAAATAATGAATAAATTTTTGGTACTACTGTTGTACCAAAGATTCAGTGCATCCCACCAAAGAAAATATTTTTTTTGTCAAATTTTTTCTCTCTCCTCTGATGCGTAATGCTCTCATTGATGAGATGGACTGAATCTAGGTACAACAGTAGTACCAAAAATTTATTCTTAAATAAAAGTCTAATATTACCCTACTCATTTACATTCTTATAGCTTTGGCCTTCTTCATACTCATATCGAAATTGCGGAAGCACTGTGTATATTTTCTAAAAAGGTTTTATAGGAGTTATGTTGTAGAAAAAGTGATTGTGTAATGTTATAGAGATTCATTTTGCGTAAGTTAATTTTTATTTTTTTTGTGCTTCAAAAAGTGCGGACTCCACAAAATATTATGTGTGTAGAAAAAATTGTGTCATGTGACATATGATAAATGCAAATCCTTTTTAAAAATGGAAAATCGAGTCTTATATTGCTGGAGGAATTTTTTTTCCAGACACCATCAAAAGTTTTGTCCCTCTTTTTTTAAAAAAATTTCAAGTGGGTACCGCCATTTTGTACCTCAGCTGCAGATGGAAAGTCTCTATTGTGAAAGGGGAGAAATAAAGCCCTTTACAAAAATAATAAAGAAAAATATTATAATATTATTCTCATAAAAGTTGTGTGATTATCAAGAAGAAAATTTGTTGCCGAATTTATTTGTGGCACTCTTTTCATTGATTGTATTCAAATTTTTCGTTTGTCAATCAAACTTCTCTGCCTGAGGAACCCGTAGTTATCTTCTTTATTTATTTCGAACTCTCCTCTATATATAAAGATTCTTTATTTGATAATTCTGCATTCTTTTGGTTCTTTCCAAATATTTATATCGTGTATATTTAATTTTTCGATTAGATTTAAAATTCTTGATTTCTGTTTATTATCAATTTTGATTTCCAGCTTTTTTAACCTTAACTTTTTTTTAGTTAATTCAATTCTAATTATTTCTTTGAGGTGAGTTGGCCCTTCTGATATTTCCACAGACTTCGACTTTCTAAACCGGCTATGGAACTAATTCGTAGCGTTGAGCGGTTTCAAATCCCTCCCAATTGTGACAATGGGAATCGAACCGAGACATTTTCTTTTCCACTTACATAGCTCTCTTATTATCAAATGAACTACCACGATTTGATTTAAGGGAAATTGAAGAGTTATGTTACTGGAACATAAAACTTTTTTCCTACTGATACATAGAAATCAAAGCCAGCTTTTATTTATTTATTTTTTCTAAAAGTACAGCGGACTCCACAGACACTGTGTCTGCAGGAAATTGGGTTTTTTAACCTTCATCAGAATTCAAAATATGATTTTAATAAAATTCTCCTTCTCCAAACTTTTCGTCGAAACTCTTATTCTAATTCAAAACCTTTAAAATTACACATTAATGTATATATATATATATATATATATATATATATATATATATATATATATATATATATATATGAAAAAATATTTCTCAAACTGTTTGAGATAAGTTTATCTCCGGCCATCCTAAAACTACGTCGTTTTGTTTATTTATTTTCTTATATTAATTGATTCACCTTTGAATGATTATGATTCCTTTTTTCTCTGTCTTCCTTTATCACCATTGATTCATCTTTGTACGGTTATGATTTAGTAGCCGGAAATAAATATGGGCTTATCGTTTCTCAAGCTGCTTGAGACAATGTTATCTCCGGCTACTAAATCATAACCGTACAAAATGGATCAATGGTGATAAAGGAAGACAGAGAAAAGGAGAATCATAATCATTCAAAGGTGAATCAATTAATATAAGAAAATAAATAAACAAAACGACGTAGTTTTGGGATGGCCGGAGATAAACTTATCTCAAGTTACAAGAGAAATATTTTTCCCATATATATATAATGCATATTAAAGATAAAATATTAAATTTATAAATAAAAATAATTAAAATTGAAGAAAATAATAATAATTAAATATAAAAGTATATAAGTTTGCGTTACAACATTTTCTAAGAAAGATTCTAAAATAATATAACTCTGCCGCATGATAAAGCAGGTTCAACATCAAATTTGTTTAGGTAAAGAAAGTAGTTAGCTCTTTTTTCTTCAAGGAACCAAATATGACATGAAAATTGTCACACACACAAAAAAAAAAAAAGTATTCCACCGATAATATGTGGTTAACAAGTCCCTCATATAACATGTTACCAAAAATCTCTTTACGTTTCATTTATATTTATTCGATAATGTGATATCAACGTATCAATATAAAGGAGTGGTTCCAAAGATCACCTCACGTCAAGCTTTTATTTCACTTTTAAATATATAAAAAAAAAAGAAGCTGATATTTCATATAAAGAAGACATCCATGAATTTGTTGTTAACCAAATCCCTTACATAACATGTTTGGCTGGATTTTCTCCAATCTCCACATAGAAAGTGGAGTTGATCATAATTATTTAAGAAAACAAAATTATAATTAAATTATAATTCTTTACTTTTTTTTCCTTTTAAAGTGAATTTTTAAAAGGGTTTGATGTTTGTCATTTTAAATGACATAAGTTATGTCATTTTAATAGAGAGATATACACAAAAAATAAAAATAACGAGGGAGAAAGTGAGAGTGGTTTGTTTTTTAATTTAAATTTCAAATAAAAAATTATTTTGTGTCTATCTCTCTTAAAATAACATAACTTTATGTCATTTAAAATGACAAATATTTTTTCCTTTTTTAAATAAGAGATTTTTTAATGGAAAAAATATTTGTCTTCTTACATGATATAATTTTTTATTATTTTAGATTCTAGCCGTTGATTTCCGTCAATCAATGATTATAATTTATTGGGTCAAATTACTATTGACCCAATAGATTATAACAGTTGATTGATGGAAATCAACTATTAAGATCTAAAATGATACAAATATTTTTTCTTATTTAATTCAATAATAACTCAATCATCTTTCTTTATAGTTATCATATTAGATTATATATATATATATATATATATATATATATATTCACTGGGATTAACCTAGTGGTGTAGAGTGTGTGTTAGATGTTTGTAGTGTAGTGGTGTGTATTCAATTTCTATCTAAAAAAAATTATATATATATAGCTCACCTCTTTGTAAATTTTGCAATATCAACATGAACATGAACATAAATTCCAAATTCTTAACCCCTGTTGCTTCATATTCGTAGTTTTGATTCCAATTGCTCCATCATTATTCCAAGGAAACATCTTTCAGTTCCAGTTCCAATCAACGTCACCTTGCAGTGCTTCCCTTTGAATGCACTCCATCATCACCCAACTGCGAGACTACTCTCACCATATTCAAAAGACAAGATTTTGAAGCAACCCACATAACCAGTTGCTAAACCAAGTTCACTCTTACCACTTTTTTTGTCAAAGGGTAGTTGTTGTTGTTGTTTTTGTAACGTTGTTTGAATTATGGTGGAGAACTCAGACACATTTGGGATGTTCCATACCATAAGGCTTGACTTTAAGCGTTGGTTTCCAGCACCCTTAGCCTCTCACAAGACCCTTTTTGCGTTCCTGTGGATTGCTGCATTTGCTTCTGTTTTCCTTTGGCAGAGGAATGCAGTTACTGCGTTCTTGGTGTTGGGTGGTGGTGTTCCGGTGATGCCATTGCCGATGCTGCGGCCAGTGGTTTTTAATTTGACGGATTTTGGTGGGGTTGGAGATGGTGTTACTCTGAACACTGAAGCCTTTGAGAGGGCTATTTCTGCTATCTCCAAGTTGGGGAACAATGGTGGTGGCCAACTGAATGTGCCACCTGGTCGTTGGCTTACAGCACCCTTTAATCTAACCAGTCATATGACTCTTTTTCTAGCTGAAGATGCTGTCATACTTGGAATTCAGGTGAGTTTTTTTTTTGTTCTTATTTTATGTTGTGTTTGTTGTTTCAAATGTGAATTCAAAATAATGATAATTGTCATGAGGACTAATGATTGTTACCCATTATATTATGTGTTCCGCTATATTTTATCATTTTTCTCTTTAGTTCCACTCTTTCATAATTAAAGATTTTTTTACATTGTATCTGTTTTGTTATGTGATGACTAACAGGATGAAAAGTATTGGCCTTTGATGCCTGCATTGCCTTCATATGGGTATGGTAGGGAACACCCTGGCCCTCGATATAGCAGTTTGATTCATGGTCAAAATCTTATAGATGTTGTGATAACAGGTGAGGATTTTTCTTCCTTCTTCCAATGAGTGGTGTCAATAACCAATTGAAGCTAAAAACTTAAGTTACTAATACATGAGTTTTAAATGATTTTATATTATATCTCTTTAGTACATCCCTTATGCAAGAGTGCTTTGAGTTTAAAACGTGGATATTGCACAGACTCATTTTTTTAAAGTGGGATTGATAAGGATTGAACTCGTGACCCATGATCACGGAGGCTCTCTAACAAGTGGAAGAGTAAAAATGTTCTTTACTTAGTTTCTAAGTTTTTCTGATTCTATGCATTGTCATAATTGACAGGGCATAATGGTACCATAAATGGACAGGGACAAACATGGTGGAAAAAATATCGCCAGAAGCTTCTCAACCACACAAGGGGGCCACTTGTTCAGATCTTGTGGTCTAGTGACATTGTGATCACTAATATTACCTTGCGTGACTCTCCTTTTTGGACACTTCATCCATATGACTGCAAGAATGTTACTATAAAAAACGTTACAATATTGGCTCCAGTATTTCAAGCTCCAAATACTGATGGCATAGATCCTGGCAAGTTTCTTCTACAAAGTGTTTACTAAAATCTTCATCTGTATTAGTTTGTTGTAATGAGGAATTTTAGCAAATTCTAATTTCTATAATATGAACAGATTCTTGTGAGGATATGTTGATAGAGGACTGTTACATAAGTGTTGGGGATGATGCAATTGCAATAAAAAGTGGTTGGGATCAGTATGGAATTGCTTATGGAAAACCTTCCAGGAATATAGTAATCCGAAACCTTGTTGTTCGCTCTAATGTCAGGTGAAATGAAAATCCCTAACTAAATCTACAGTTATACTTGTTGCATGCTTTTCAGCATCTTATTGTTCTCTGATCATGCTTGCTCGCATTTCTTTGTGTGTTTGTTTGAAAATTTGATTACTCGTTATGAAACATATCATGTGTTAGGCACAGGATTTTTCTGAATCTGCATACACTTATGAATCAAGGGAACAGAAGCATTGTTTTGTCCATCACCATAATTTCTCACATTCTCTAATCTATTCCTTTATATATATGTTTAGAGGTAGTTGAAGTATTACACCAAAAAGCATTAAATTTGGAATCTTCAACAATATTACCTCCAGCTTAGGGAACACTCTACAAATAATACAAGCCATATTAGGCTCAGGCTCATATAGATCCAAATAATCAGGCTCTCACCTATTAGGCTGCTTATATGTGAATCAGATTATAAGTTTTGAGATTTGGTTATTCTAAAATGCTAAACATAAAACAAATTCAGTGGCATCAAACCAATAATGATTTTTATTGTTGATTGAAATGCAACAACAGTGCTGGCATATCAATAGGCAGTGAGATGTCTGGTGGGGTATCCAATGTAACGGTGGAGAACATTCTCGTATGGGAATCTAGGCGTGCTATAAGGATCAAGACTGCACCTGGAAGAGGTGGATATGTGCAACAAATAACTTACCGGAATCTAACGTTTAACAATGTTCGTGTTGGAATTGTTATCAAGACTGATTACAATGAACACCCTGATGCTGGATACGATCCTAAAGCACTTCCACTACTTAGAGACATAAGTTTCATCACTGTCCGTGGCCATGGAGTTCGTGTGCCAGTAAGGATTCAAGGTAGTGAACAGATTCCAGTTAGAAATGTGACTATCCAGGATATGAAGGTTGGAATAACCTCCAAGAAGAAGCATATTTTCCAATGTGCCTATGTCCAAGGTCAGGTAATAGGGACCATTTTTCCTGCTCCATGTGGGAACTTTGATCAGTACAATGAGCAAGGCCAGCTGGTTAAGCATTCTGTGTCCCATAATGTAACAGATATAGATTATGAAATTTGAGGTAGCCTTTGTTCCATTAGTCAGGCCTCAATGTATGTCTGATTATCTATTAGATCATTTTTGTAAGGGGTTGTAGCAGTCAAGTCATACTTTTTTTTTTTTTTTCCTTAATTCATTTATAGTTTTCTTAGGTGTTAAGTTGTATATAGGAAAAATTTCCCAAGATTAAACAAATACATAAGCCGTGTGCTGAGGATTATTCGAGAGTGTATTTAGTTGCTTGATTTTGTCCTTTTTTATGATTTTTCTGCTGAGGTAGAGAATACTGTGATATCAGTCTGAAAGGGGTCTATTTTGCTTTATAAATTATAATCCAAAGTTAATTAGAGACCAGTTCATATATCTATAAATAATTGCCAGATAAAATTCAGCAAATAAAAGAATACTGATGGCTAGCCCATTTTAGATTTATAATTACATATTTAAGTACCATAAATTCTTGTTACACTTAAGTCTATATACAATGGTACATTTTAATGAGATAGTTTAATTCATATACTGCTATAATTATGCTTGATGAATGGCTGGATAAGTTATCCTTGCCTGGTCCATAAGCTACAAATGGACCCTGGCCTTTGGCTGATCGATGGTGGTTCTCCAACTAAATGTCCACACCGCGTTTCTTATAAGACTAGAACAATACCTTTTATTTGAACCAGTTTTTTAGATTTAAGTTAGGTCCAGTTTATCATCAATTCTAATATGATCCCCATATTCCACCAAGAACGTGGATTAATTAATAAAGAATTGTTCCACCTTAATTAGTGGTTTCAAATTCGAGTGCTCTTATATAATCCTCCCCAGCTTGAATCGGATTAGTGGAATAATGGATGAACCATAATATAATCCCCATATCAGTTGGCTATTTGGGCAAAGCTCTATTTATAATGTCTAGACAATCCTCTTCAACTAAGATCCCGCCTCAGTTTGGAACATATACAAAGTACATCTTATAATGATTTGGTCAATACTCTTCACTTGAATTAGCTTTTAGATATGGCAAATAGAACCGGAGTGGAGGGTTGACCTGTTCAACTCATAGAAAATGACAAATTTGATCAGATTTTCTAATATATTTTTTGGAAAAATATTTTCTCAGCATGTTGTAACTATTCGATTTGCGTGCAAAAATTTTCTTTATTTTTTTTTTCTTTTTAATAAATGTGGGGCCTACTATTTATTGAGTCACAACATGAGAATTCAATTCTCATGCAATATGAAAAAATCAAACCCTATATTTTTTATGCATGCTTTACACTGTTGTATGACTTGAGTTTTACCGAGTTAACTTGTGGGATCACTTCCTTGTTTATATATATTAGTAGCAAGTCGACTCATTTGTATCACCCACTATTTTTATTTAATTAAAAGGCTAAGTTGGACAAACTAATCTGTTCAAAACGGAGTAGATTGAAATTCCCAACCCATTTTTTAAAGAGTTTAATGTGTGTCATTTAAAAGGACATAAGTTGTGTGCTTTTAGAGTTTTAGTGACTTACACAAAGTATGACCAGTCATACTTTGTGTAAATCTGAAAAGTTTTTTTTCACTTTACACATCAGTGATGTGACTAGGAAGAGAGAAAAAAAACAACTTTTCAGCTTTATATAAGTATGACCAGTCATATTTTGTATAAATCACATAAAAAAATACAAACTTGTGTACTTTAAAATGATATTTTTTTCCCTTTTTTTAAAATAGGTATTTTGGGGATTAACATGCGACGATGTGATATGTTGACATGCATTGCTTTCTTTTTTCTTTTTTTTCTTTTTTGGTATTCAACAGGGGCTAGAAACCCCAACAACAAGAAAACAGCAAAACAGACAGAACAGAATTACAAACAGAAGAAAAAACTATAAGAACTAAAAACCAGTAGTCTTCACAGGTTCCTAGTGAATACCAGTAGCCAAACCAGGGTCCAGAATATCAGCAGCTAGGAGGTTAAGGAGGTCACAATGAGGAGATGAGATTGGGATGAAACCGTGAGGATCATCCAAGGCTTTTTTTGCAAGCCAATCTGCACACATGTTAGACTTCCTTGAAATACCATTTAACTGAACACTCCACTCCTTTTGCAGGAAAACTCAAATCTTAGCTACTAATGTTAGCTTTCGAGTGTCATTACCCCTAAGGGTAAGAAGGCTTAATGCTTGAGAAGAATCTGATTCCACAATTATCTGTTTCCAATTATGGTTCCAGGCAAAAACAAGGCCATGATAGACAGGCCATAGTTCGGCCATTAAGGAGGAACAGGAACCTAAAAACACCGAAAACCCACCAATCCAGTCTCCATTACTACCCCTTATGAGGCCTCCACATCCAGCCCTCTCACCATTCATAGCACCATCCACATTCAATTTGAAATAACCTTGTTTAGGGGCTATCCAATTTTCGGGTTTGATGGGGGGAGTGATGCTAAGGACCTCTTTTTTCCTGTAATCATAGCTGCACCTGATTTCCTCAATTTGGACTGCTAGAGGGATTGAAGGGTCCACAGGTCTCTTATAGCTTTCTTCATGAAGCTCTTTGTTCCTCCAATTCCAAAGGGAATTGCAAACAGTAAAAAACATATCCCTCCAATCCTTTCCATGGCAAGATTTTATATGTAAGTTGAGAAATAACCAATCATATAAGGAACCCGAACTGAAAAATCCCTGAGGAAGAGGGTGAAACATAGGTAAGAGCCAAACCTGTTTAGCCATGAAACAGTCCCTAAACACGTGTAAACACTCCTCCACTGTATCTGGACATAGATGGCAGCTGTTCGACCCTCCACTCCAATTGGCTACTCTATCTTTTATCAACATTCTTCCATGTAGCATCTTCCATAAGAGTATCTTAATTCTCTCTTTTCCTTTCCACTTCCATATACGGTCCCAACAGTTGTTTAATGGAGCAGTGGTTGAAGAGACCTGATTGCAATAAGCCAGTTTAACAATTGAGCTGCTCGGATTCCAGTTTTTCCAAACTATAATATCTTCTCCTACACCATTTTCTGGATGAGGGATGGCTAAGATCATATTAACAGTGTTTTGTTCAAAATTACTTAGAAGGAATTGCATGTTCCATCCCTCCTCTGAGCAAAACTTACTATGATTAATTATCAAGTCAGAATCTTCATCTTCAATTTCTTCACAAATTCCTATAGGAAGCAGACTACTTTGCATGTTGAACATAGGGATAGTTGATATAACTGATTTGGCCAAAGTAATCCTTCCTGCCATTGACAAACATTGCTTCTTCCAACCTTGAAGCCTGTTGTTAACCCTATCCATTAATTCTCCATAGTGCAATTTGCTTATACGGCCATGCTTCATTTTATAGCCAAGATATCTTCCCAGGTTCTTAGTGTGATCAAAACCACTAATCTCCACAATTGCATTCACAACATCCAGAGGGACATTTCCAGAAAAAAATATACTGGATTTAAGGAAGCTCACCTTTTGGCCATACATGCTGCCAAATTTGTTAAGGCAACTCATCATTATCTTTATTTGCTCAATGTTGGCTTCTCCAAATAAAATCAGGTCATCCGCAAATAAAAGATGGGATATAGATGGCCCACCTTTCCCAGCTTTCATTGGCTTCCACTCTTTCTTCTCCAAAGAGTTAGCAATTAAATGGGAAAGCTTTTCCATACAAAGGACAAAAATATAGGGTGATATTGGGTCACCATGTCTTAAGCCTCTGCTAGGGGAGATACTGCCTGCCTGAGTGTCATTCCAAAGGATCTCCAATTTAGAGGAGGAGATGCATTGCATGATAAGATTAACCAGAGGTACTGGAATATTCACCTCAGTCAAAACTTTATGGATAAATTTCTAGGACATCCGGTCATAAGCTTTTTCTAGATCAATCTTTATAGCAAAGAAACCCCTCTTCCCCTTCATTCTATTCATTGAATGGACCATCTCTTGGGCAATGACAATATTGTCCTGGATCTGTCTGTTAGGGACAAAGCTAACCTGTTGTGGAGAGATTAGCTTGTCTAGAAAAGGCTTCAGCTTTCCCACAATCAGTTTACTGATACCTTTGTATATAACAGAACACAGGACAATTGGCCTGAATTGGTTGATTTTTTCAGGTTTAGCCAGCTTAGGAATGAGAACAAGGTGGGTTTTGTTTAGATCTTTCACCAACTCTGGCATATTCCAAACCTGCTTGACACAATCAAAAACTTGTAATCTCAATAAATCCCAATTCTTTTGGAAGAAAATAGCAGGGAATTCGTCTGGTCCAGGAGCTTTAAGTTCATTCATAGAAAAGAAAGCCTCTTTGATTAATAAATCAGTGATGGGTTCTTGCATGACCTTTAAATATGATTCCTCCAAAACAGGCCAGGTATTATTAGTGTTGAACCAGGATCTGCATTCATCTTCCTCTGAAAAAAGATTCTTGAAAAAGGAATGAATAAGCAAAATCAAATTACTTTCTTCCCTCACAACCTGACCCTCATCATTCTTTAATTCTCTGATCCTGTTTCTTGCTCTCCTGATGATGGTTGTCGTATGATAAAAGGTAGTGTTACTGTAACACCCCGTATATATCCGGTAACGTTATCATACTATCGTATTAAGTTGTGCTTAATTAAAAATGCAGAATATCTTTTTCTTTTCAATTATGAAGTCATTATCATTACCAACTTGCTTATTAATCAATTAATAAAACATCGCCTGTATGCAATTGCAATAAACAACTAACTGAAATACCTCATTAATTAAAATAACATAATGTATGTCTCTAGTCACGGAGCTACAACACGTAGATCGAACCAACTAGCTGTTTATACAACTCAGACTAAAGGTACCAACAACATAGTGGCATGCACAACTCTCATGCTCATCCAAATAAGGCAACAAAGCCCAAAAGAAAGTCTCAACTCAAATCATAAAGAGCAGAAAACATAAACAGCATCCAATCCAGTCATGTCAGCAATACAGCATAAATGTCATAATCAGCTAAGCTCTGGCCTCCTGCCGCCAGAGGCATCAGTCACCATACTACCTGAACCTGAAATAAGCATTCCCCAAACATGGGGTGAGATCTCTAAACAAGAAATCTCAGTAAGACAAGGGGTCCTCAAGGATCTTCCACCCCAAGCTCACTTACATGTGCAATATAAGTTTAAAAGCAGTTTATCATCATCAGTTCTAAA